CGCAACCTCTCGGCCTTCCCTTTTCAGGTCGCGTTCAGGGTTTAGGGTTTAGTTAGGATTTACCTTTTTTGAAGTGCCGTGGCTTTATAGGGTTTCGGATTGAAGGTTTCGGATTTAGGGTTTAGGATTTAGTGACTAGTGTTTAGAGTTTAAGGGTTTTGAGCCAAGTCGAAACACTAACAACGTCGGTTCCCGGGAGCCTTGGGCAGGTCGAGTTGGAGGATTTTGAGAGTTTTAGGCTTTGTTTGATTGAGGCTTGGAGGGTGTAGGGTTCGGGACCAAACAGATCCCCGCAATTGATGAGGCTCGTCCCAGAGTTCAGCGAAAGGTTCGCGTGCCAAGCTGGTCCTACAGAGGTCGTCTGTTCTAGCGGCTGAGGAGTTTTAGGGTTGAGTGTTGAGGATATAGTCGGTATAGTGGTTCACGGTTTAGGCGTTCAGCATGGGCATTAGGAGTTCATGGGTTCAGGGGCTAAGGCTTCGGGGCTTAAGTAGTCTATGATTTGGGGGGCAAGCTTCACGATTGCATGAGCCTATTGCGCCCAGAGCTTGCCCGAGCAAGAGTCGAAAAATATTTCAGCAATAAGCCGGTAAAGGGCCCCAGACCCCAGCCTCCCCCCAACAGAGAAGGATCTCGTAAGCTTGTGGCTGCAAGCGGTTGGCAACTCGTCTCTGTGTGCAGAGATTGTGCTCCTCGGCGGCTGACTTCCAGAGATTCAGCAGGCTTGCAGTTTGGACTTTGGCTTTAGAGGGGCCTTAATGTTTAGAATAGGGTTTTGGGTAGAGTATGCTATAACTAACATTGATACGGAACGCTACCTGCTTGCAAGGCTTGGTTGCCATTGACAACTTCATTCTGCATACACAGTTTTTTGGGCGCTCGCATCGCTTTTACATCAGACCGCTGCTGGGGGGCAGATGTCATCTGCCTGGACTTTAAGCCTGTCAAGCGGTCTTCTCTGCCTACTTGCGTGAGCAAGGTCTAGGGACAAAGTTGCCCCACTCCGCAGGTGGGACCAGGATCATGGTGCAGGTCTGTTGATGCAAGCTCTTCGCTGGGGGCTTCTGCTGAGATCCGACGCAGCTTTTTGAGAAGCTGATGTCTTAGAAGCTGCCCTCACCCTGTAATAGTGACTATAAGGATTATAGTAATGTTATATTAGGGCCCTATTATATTCCGATTATACCACTATTACAGGGTGGGGGCAGCTTCTAAAAGACTGCAGCTTGGACGCCATAATGCCATTCTAGAGTCGCCAGCTAATCATGGCACGAGGCCGACGGTTAGTGGCGCAGCTTTGCAGATGAAAAGACTACTCATTGAAGCTCCAGCTGCCAATACAGTATAGTATGTTGTACTCCAAAACCCCATCCTGACTATTAAGGTCCCTGTATTAACAGCTACACTCTCGCATTACGACTGTGATTGGGAACCGGGCAATTCCTCGGAATGCATGTTCACAAAGCTCGCGCATGAGCTCCTTTGTCAGACCAGCTGTGGCTTTAAGGTGTCGTTAAGCAGGGCTTGGGATTCAGGTACAGTTTACAGGGCTGAAAAGCTGGGAGTTCCGTTCGGCGCCCGGACGAAAGCTACACGGCATGAGCCTCATTGATGAATGATGCTTGCTCAAAGAAGGCACGATAAAATCAGAAGATGCTTTCACATCATACACCCAAGTTCGCAAGGCACCGACATCAACCTCGCTGGATAACTGAGGCTTTCAGTTCCGACACAAGACCCCTCTCGATGTGGTTACTGTTGTACGAGCCAGGAGGATCCGGGATCCGTGACTGTTCCGAAGGCAGGGAGGCAGGAGGAAAGCCTATAACGTGCAACGGCGTGCAACCCCTCTCGGAATACCTCAGAAGAACCCATAAACTTAAACCGACTTGGTGTCTGAGGTTTCTTATTCGGACTCACCGAGGCAGTCCTGTTGAGCTTCTGAAATGCCTAGAAGGACCGAGCCCGAATGCAGAGCGCCAATGTAGGGCGAGGCAAACCCACTGATCTGCAGCTCAAGGCTTCGAGTCTGCATTGTTTGTGGGCGTTGACTGTGCAAGAGTCTGAACAGCCTGCATATCAGTTCTTTACGACCGCCACAAGCGGTGTAGTATGAAGTGCCTGTCAGCCTCAAGCTCGAAACCCCAAAGACTTCGAGTGTTGCAGACTTTGGATATGAATATACACATATGTGTAGCACAAGATCCAACCCGATACGTCAGCAAGCTCCTGCTGCTCTGCCTCCGCCGAATCCTGCGCTACTCTGATGCGGGCGGGAAAATCGCGAAGCAGGGTTGAAAGCTTGAACATCCCTTGCTTACTTGGAGCATCAGGGGACTTAGTAAGTAAGGTTGAAAGTGCCTTAATTAGGGCTTTAAGTACTTATAGGTATAATTACGTTACTTATAAGCCTAGTTACTAAGTCCCACGATCCTTTAAGTAAGGGTCTCCCACAAGGATCCCCGATGTTTCGAACTATAAAGGCGAGCTCCGTTCGGATGGACTACCATTTTAGAAATGATGACCCAGTGACTCACATGCCAAGTTACAAGCCCTGCGGGCCAACTTTCGCCTTGTGGTAGGTTAATAATGCAGGGGCCTAAAAAATGACCACGACTACTTTGGGGGTTCATTATGAGTAATATAGTAGAATGAAACCCTCTTCTAATTATTCAGGCCCCTATTGTAAGCTCCTCGTAGAAAGCACGAATAAGGAGCTCTCTCGCGTGCTCAGAAAATCAAACCATTGCCCAGATAAGCCTAGTCCAATCAGGTGGATGTCATCTGGTCTATACCGTCAGACTGATCTGCCAGCCTGGAACTCGCGAAACCCAACACGCGAACCTTAAATCCTAAACACTTAAGTTCTAAACCCTAAACGCATCGGCAAGGCTTGGCAGAACACAAGTGCGATTACTCCCAAAACCCACCAAACCCCTCAATTTGGCATGGTTCCTTAAATCAGTTCAGGGATCCGTGGTTCAGGGACGCTTATAGACATGCTTCGTGGCATCCTCGGGCTCGGCTAGACGTTGAGGCGTAACCCTAGGCCCTGACACCTAAAACCCTAAACTTTAAAACTCTACACCCAACCCAAACCCTGAACCCTCAACTTCGGCAGTGGAAAGAGAAACATTCATCTGCTCAACTTATCTTCGGAATACTTCGGCTAACAGGGCTTGTTAATTTGCTGAGAAGACTAAGCCTAATCCAAGGACTTCAATATCCCCTGGTAAAAGGCCATGTATGAAGTTCCCTACTGTAGCTTAGCTATCATTCCTTAGGATGTGGGGTTTAGGATCCCGACTGTAACTTAGCTGGCATTCCTTCTTTCTGGGGTCTCGGAATCTCTGGTCAGCCTGAGCCTCGAAGCCAAGATAAGATGATACAACCTGGTACCATAACATGAGGCTTAAAGAACATCAAAGTACTAAGTAGTGGGATGCACTGGGCTTTGGCCTTCGTCGCCGCGGGGTTCGTCACTCTGAGCGACAAGCCCTACTGTGCACGGTTAAATAAGGCATATTCCTCGAAGGAACACCCCAAAGAAGCCTCCGCATCCACCCCTAAACTTCGAATTGAGACCCCTAACACTGCGAGCTCACACATCGCAACCCTAACGCCCTAAACCCTAATATAGGGGCCTTAATACTTAGAATAGGGTTTTGCGGCCCATTCTACTATACTTATAATGACGAGCCGAGCCCTCAAAATAGTACAGGTATTTCTTTAGGCCCCTACAGCAAGTCGCAGGCTTTGCTGCCGTCCTTGGGCGGCTGCGGGTCGGGCTTGAGCTGCTCCAGGTGGTTGCACAGCCGCTGGAGGATGACCTCGACGCGAGCCTAAACTACGGTTTAGGGTTTCTAGTTCATGGTTGGGATAGAATGAAACATGTGGGTGTTATCCGATATTCTTTCTCCCAGAAACAGCCCCTCCCGCGCCGCTTTCGCACAGTTTCCGCGCTCTTTCGCGCGCGAGGAAAATCGCAACAAACAAGAACACCTCAACATAACTCGGGCTCAGAAACATCTCTTCAAAGCCGCAGACAAACTTTTATACCAAACAATACACAGCTCTACAATGTTTCCTGAAAGGTCCTTAACAATGCAGATTCAGGAGGATCCTGCTTACAAGCCATACAGCTCTCTCACTAAACGGATCCTTTAAGCTGGCTGTCACATGCAGAAAACTGAGGTTTAGAGAGGGTCCCGTCACCAGGCTCTGGAAGGTACAGTGAAAATACTGTATCAGAACCCACTGTTTAAGAACCTGAGCCCCTACCCAGGCGGAATTCACCAGATTCAAGTTGCTTCAATATTAAGAACCTTAGGGTACCCGAGTTTTTTGGGTCAAGCTTTTAAGTCTTTTGGGTGCTTTCATCATTTCGATTCCGGTGGGGAAAGGGCCCAAATGACGGGGATTGAGCCCGCGACCCAGCCCAATACGGCCAATGAGGCAGCCGACCTCTAGGAAGTAAACCCAGCCACAGCTTAGTGGACAAATGCTCGTGTCGCAAGCCATCCCCGCGAGCTCAATCCCCAGAAATGTTGTTTGGGCCCTTTTGCCAGCCGGAATCAAGATTTTTGGGTGACCAGGCTCTGGGCTTTCTGGTGGGGATGTGAGGGAGGGGCTTGATAAAAGCTTTTACAAGGGCTGCAAATCCGTGAAATACGCACAAAATCCGTGCAATTCCACACCAGCCTCCTCCTGGCCCTACCCCCGGCACCAGGAAATTTAGAATCCAAAAAACGGGCGAACGCCTCACTGCCCCCTTCTGCGCTGCCCTTCTGCACTGCCTGGTCCTGCCCTCCTGACCAGTTCCAAAACCACCATTTTGAGCTTCCCGCGGCCTCAAAATGCGCTTTCTTCGTCGTGGTTTTGGATTTCCTCTGCCCTGGTCCGGCTGTGCCTGCCCTGCCTACACGTTCCAAGCAAGCGATTTAGCTTTCTACAGACAACAAGTCTTTTCTCCTGCGCAAGAATTTTCGGTCTTCTTCGTGCTACTTGTCTGAAGCGGACGAGGAAGAGGAGTTGGACGAACTGCTCGAGGAACTCGTTTGTGCGTTGCCAGCCTCTAGCTCCTGTTTCAGTTCACGCCACCTTGCCCGTCGCCTGAGCAGTCTGTTCGCTTGTTTCCTGGCAGTGCGCTCCCATTCGTCTTCCAGATCCGGAACTTGCATTTTCCGCCGTTTGTGTTCCTCGAAACGATTTACAACCGCATCCGCCTGGCCTTGAGACGGACGTTTCCTGTCCCATCTCGTGTTTGAGAAGTACGCGCGTCTCCAAGCACTGTCCCGGATCGTCTCCAAAAACACTTTTGGAAACGATTTGGAACCTTGCCCTTCCTGAGACATTTCCGTGAATGTGAAATCAACAATGCTGGTGGTACGCACGTGCACGTTGGGATTGTCGGGCAGTAGTTGTAAGCAATACGTTTTGCTGATCTGGGACTCACGCTGAGGAAAAACCCAGGCAGACGCTGGCTTCTGTTCGGGCTCCCACCGTACAACAATGTACTCCATTGCAGGGTCCATCTTTGTCGCCCGAGCTGCTTCGTTCTTCAAGACCTGCTCCATTTCGTCAATGTTGGAAATGCGGCGACCAGGCCTTTTGAGGTGATGTTGAATCCATCCCTCGATGCGGCTAAAAAGTCCATCGACCTGGCCTTTGCCGTGCTTCTCTCCAAAGAAGGAGAGACGCACTTTCCGTGGGGTCTGTGACTCCACCCAGTCTCCAATCCAACCTGCCACGTGATCGTAACTCTTGTAATGTGGCCCGCAATCCGACCAAACCAAGACCTCGCCAATCGGGCAAATTGTCGATGTGTTTGGCGACTTCTGCATAGAGGAGGTTTGACACGAGCACAGTATGCTCGATAATCGAAGAAATCACGATGACGTGCTTCGTGCGCAGCTGGTCGCCTGCCTTTTGGAACACCAAACATCCCCAGCATGTCATCTCCATGCGGCTGGTTCCATAGAACATATCACCAGTTTCGGTGTGCGCCAGGGGCACTGTTAGGTTCTGTTTGTAGTCGGACCAGAGCAGCACTTGGTTGCTTGCTTGCGCCTGACGTTTCGCAATCAGCCGATGCCAGTGGTAACTCTTGGCCACCTTGAGTTCCCACGTCAAGCGGTGCGAGATCTTGGCTTCAAGCTCGTGAAGCTTCTGGGCAACCATGGGTCGGAGCTCCTTGCGGTCTTCTTGCCTGTTTGTGCCATGCGTATAAATGAACCGACTGAAAGCCTCGCAAGATGCGATTTCATCCGCCTCTGCAGCTTCTGGGAAGGTTCGAAAATACGATGGCATTGTCTCGGACAACACTTGTTGTGCCCGAGCGAAAAGCTTCTTCAAACCAGGCAGAATCGATGTCTGAAGCAAGTGGCAATGGTCGCAATAATCTGTTTTTCGCACAGGGCGAATCGCCCATCTGCATTTCGTTCGCACGATCCGATGAAACTGTGCCCATGCCAGAGATGTGACCAAGCCACTGTCCCAGTAGGCCCGCAGAAGTGAAGAGGTCAAAGTACGAGGACGGCTGTTTTCGGACTTTAGCCATTTGCTGCTTTCCTGACTGTTGGCCATGATGCAGTCCACTACCTTCTGTACGATCACTGGGTCGTTGAGCTTGCTTGGACGCCCACGCTTCGCTTTGACATCTGCTCCTTCCCGTTTCACATTTTTTCCTTATTGGGTTCAAAAAGACCATAAATGTAAAATGTTACCCAACTGTGACAAAGTAAACCCTTAACCCTAGATCATACGCCCTAAAAGTACGGGGGGGTGGACAATGGAGGGTTGAGGATTTATGATCTTGGGCTTGAGATTGGGATTTTGGATGCAGGGTTCAGGATTTAAATTTCAAGGTCAAAGGTTCAGGGTTTAGGGCCGGGGGTAGGTTGTCGAAAGTTGCAGCCGTTTCCACGGTCAAGGTGTCGGATCTCTGTATGGCTCAGGGATGTTCGAGGCCGAAGAAGGAATTACCCATACACTTCAAGCAGGTATGCCATGTAGTTAGGCTTGAGCATGTGGGGTCTGATTGCGGTGGCGAGTTCCCGGGGTGTTGGGGCGGGGGAAGAGACGGGCCTCAATAGTTCGAACAGAGTTTTTGGGATACATTAGACTGTAGACTGTAATTATACGATTTTTATCGTAGTGAAGCGGAAGGAGCACAATTGCTAAGTATTCTAACTACAATATTACAGTTCCGGAGATTCCTGGCCCAATCAAGGTTCATCTTCCAAAGGACGACGGGATTATGTAAGCCCCATGCGGGCAAAGGTTACCCATCCAGCCAGTATGTATTCGTGGTGTGAGGTTAGCTTAGAGCTGGATTCTGGGGCCGTCAGGCCTTGTCGCTGCAGTTTTAGCTCAAGAGCCTCCACCCGGACTGAAAGCGGATCGTCCGCAAAAGCAAAGCATTGCAACTGCAAGCTTCGATATCTGTACTTTGAACCCAGGAGCCCAGGAACCCCCACACCCGACCTCCTTCAGGCTTCTTGGCTGCAGTCTCTGAGCGCTCGACGATGAGGGACAGCGAGATGCACTTGGGCGACTTCCGCCCGCGACCTGACTCTGCCATAGACTACGGCCATGTAAATAGGGGTGGCTATGGGCTGTAGTGGGGGCCAGAGAAAGCACTATCCCGAACGCCTCAGGCTTGGCTGTGCATATCCTCTTCGGTGTGCAGAAAAGCAAAACATAAGCGGCTGAGACAACAACAGCAGCAAACTCAGTCGAACCCTTTTCCTCAGCCAGCTCTAAACCCCAAACCCTCCGTAGCTCAAACCTGAAGCAACGGGCTGCTTCTGAGCCGTTGGAGAGTGCTCAGCTTTGCCAACATTCTATGGACTACAGCAACCCGCTCCTGTCTAAGGCAAGGACCTTTATGTTTTCAACGGGGTGTTGCGGCACATGGTAGCTGGTAATGTAGCTGTGTTAAGGAGCCCTACGGAATAGCAGTGCGAATTATTCAGGGTCCCTTACATCAGCCTACATCGCAGACCTTCAGTTCCAGAGCCATCGTGCTGTAAAGTGGTGAGACTCCTGAGACTTCTATGCTAAGCCGCAACCTCGAAGTCCCCTAAACCCTAAACCCCTGGACCCTAAACCCTAAATCCCTAAACCCTAAACCGAACAAATTTCGGTCGGAAAGCATACGCACTCGTCGGCCGCAGCCCACTCGTCTTCCAAACCCTGGCTTCAGGGAACCCTCGCAGCCCCTGAAGAGTTTAGGCATCCCTTGTTTAAGGTTTCGTATTCAGGAATTCAGGGTTTAGGGCTTCGTATTTAGGGTTCAGGGTTTCAGGGTTACGGGCTTTGCGTCGAGGGCTTCTGGTTAAAGCGTTTTAGGCTGCAGGCTGTTGACTTCGAGCCGAGGGGTATGCATGGAAGACCAAGCCGAGTAGAGTTTGAGGAGAACTCTCTGTTTACTGTATTTGAGTATAACCTACTATACGTATGAAAATGCAATGCTGTAATTTGCTGTACCATCTTGTTTCAGTATGTAACTCCAAAGATGATGGTAACCATGATGCTACATATATCGAGTGTTACCACTACTCATGATGGGATAGAGACTTGTATCACGACAGCAAATCTTATCTCATGGCTCATTACAATACTACTGTTCCTCATATGAAAGCCTTTCTGGCTTCTCTTGCTGCTGCTTGCTGCAAAAGCAGAGATCGTGGCCGTCATCGTTGCTACGGCTATGTTGACAGTTGCACGTACTGTCACTGGTGCTTCGCACGGTCCAAGTACAAGTGCTTCCAACTAACCTGATTTTGATGAGACATGAGCATGCTCGTGGTCACGATCACCATTACCGTAGTCATCATCGCCATTGCCGTCATCATCTTCTTCGTCGCCATTGCAGCAGCCGATGACAGGATAACTGCGAAACTCACAAAAACCAGGTTAGAGGCTTCGGGGTGCAAACCCAGGGCTCAATGTGTTCCGTTTTCTCGTAGTCCCTCGCATCCTCTGCCCTGCACTCGAGATGTGGCCCGAACCAAGACAGCCACAGATTCACTAATCTCGCGCGATAGCCGCCGCCTTTGCTTCGGCTTGTCTTCGATGCACATAGCGCCACACGGGTCCGGAGCCACACATGCAGGGCCTGGAGTTGCAAGGTTTAGTGGGAGTTGGGCGCAACAGCACCAAGATTCTGGCGGTTTTGCAGTTCGCATCGGGCTGAGGTTTAGGGCGTAGGTGTAGGCATGTTAGGGCTTAGGTTACGGATTGGGGGTCAGGTTTGTACTCCCAAGGTTCAGAATTTGGGAGCGTGGGTTTTCGACATTTATGTGAAAAGAACTTTCCTCGGTGGTCTTCTTCGTCGCACCGAACTCCCAATTCTGTGGTGCACAGCCGTTGCGGACAAGCCCGCTCCCTGATGAGGAGCGCGCTGCTTCTCCTACTTTTCTCGTCCTGAACCGATCAGAAGGTGGAAGCGCTCAGCAACATGAAGTGTGGGTACCTAAGTTACATGTAGGTTTGATAAATCCTAAACTCCCGAAACCCTGGAATGCCTTACACTCTAAGACCCCTTGATGGCCCTGAGTTCGCAACGAAAACTGTGGAGTCTACGTGATCCCAAACTGCAAGGGGAGACACGCGGATCGGCAGTTGAGGTGTGACCCTAAGACCGAGTTCCTCAGATCCCGAAGATGATATCAGCCAGCCTGAACTTTAAAAATGAATGTATGTATGTCTGCTTTTATGCACGTACATAATATGTACAATATACGTGTATGTAACAATTGCTCACTGGCCTAGTCCTTTCTGCGACCACACTCTTCAACTTTAGCTGCAGTCAAAACCCACCTAAACCCTAAAGGCCCTAAACCCCTGAAGCCCTAAACCCCATAAATCCGAAACGAAGCCTCCCAAAGCACAGAACAAAGTTGAGCAGTCCCTCACTCGGCCTTCCAGCTCCGCAAACACAGAGCCTGGGCGACTCTCTCATGGGTTGCCGGGTTTGTACTTAGTTGCTGAATTCATAAGCCCCAAAAAGTGTACACTTTTAGTGTTTTAGTGGGTGACATTATACACGTGTAAAGTGTATCCACTCAGCTGCTAAGTATAGGGGATTCCGGGTTAGGAGGCTTAGGGGTTGAACGTTTAGGCTTCAGGGTAGTGTGAGCACATGCAAATGTAAAGGTACATGCGAGTCGGGCGTGGCATGGCTATTGAGTGAAAGAGGGTGGAGTTCGCATTCTCATACCGTTTCGGGCTTAGGGTTAAGGGGACTCATACCTAGACAATGCAGCAGTCTAAACAAGGGAGATAAAGCATTGGTTTAGGTCTCACTGAGGAGTTTAGGGTCGGATTTGGATTTAGGAGGGCATGAGTTTCTCACTCCAAGGAAATTTGTAGGTATAGAGTTTTAGAGCTACCAGGCTTTAGCACCGTTGTTGGGTAGTACTGCAGAGGTTCTAGAAGTAACACTGTCGGAAAAAACCTTCCAACCTTCCTCTTCAGCCCTAACAGCCCTAAATCCTAAACCCTAAACCCGAACCCCAAATCCTAAACCCTGAACCCCAAACCCAAACCCTAAAAGCCCATCGACTCGGTAATTCCACCGAGCAGCTCCCTCTTGCCGAGAGCAATCTGGAAGTCGGGGCCTCTGCAGTACATGTCGGCTTGAGAGTTTAGGGTTTCTAGGTTTTGCTTGTTTAAGGGCTTCTAGGGTTTAGGGTTTCCTAGTTTTTGTTGTTTAGGGTCTTAGGGTTTAGGCTTTGAGGGTTGCTTTCGATCTTGCACCTATGTTGTTTCACTTTGCTTCGTCTTGACCGTTTTGGACAAAGGCCTTCCAGGGAGGATCTGGGGTGAAGGTTGGCAGTGTGCGGTTTGCTACTTGAAGGCTCATGGGGCTTAGTAAGTAAGGTTATAAGTAGGTTATAATTAGGATAACCCCACTTAGGGGACTTATAACCCCAATTATAACCTACTTACTAAGTCCCATGATCCTCTAAGTAGCTGGCGTCCTGCTTAGCTGTGAAACCGCATTCGGCATTGTTCTTCTCTGGGCTGTAGCTTTGGGGTTCTGAAAAGTATTTATGAATAGGTACCTCATAGGAACCATAAGGGAAATTAAAACGTTTCCCAAATTGCCACCTAGTTCTGAGCATTGTCAGCATCAAGGCTACTCTTCCGATATGAGCAACGTCTCGCATGTCTTTATAGATGGATTCATTATCGCACAAGGGCTGGAGAAGTCTTCAAACACGGTCATAAGAGGCCTTGGCAACGACGTTTCGGATGACCAGAAACGTCGACATGCGCAGAGTATTTGTATCCGTTTGGCTGGCGCAGTGGGTGGGGTCATGTTCTTTTCCGCAGAGTGGTTGTACATGCAAAGTAGTGCTTCTTGTGATGGCCCCTTCTGTTTGGTCCTGGTTGCGAGCTTGTCGGGCAACTTCCTGTTGAAGTCGCTGGGGCGAAGGAGCGTAGTGGAGAACCCAAGTATCCCTCAACATAAACTTCAAGCTTGAGAACCATAAACTCCGAAGTACGAAGGCATTAAACCGTGATTTCCAAACAAAACTTACAATTTCTGAACGAACCGTCCAAACCCTCAACCC